TCACTCATATGTGGAATTTAAGAAACAAGACCGATGAAGATAGAGGAAGGGAAGGAAAAACAAGATAAAAACAGAGAGGGAGGCAAACCATAAGAGACTCTTAAATACAGAGAACAAACTGAGAGTTTCTGGAGAGGAGGTGGGTGGTGGTGGGCTGAGTGGGTGATGGGCACTAAGGAGGGCACTTTTAGGGATTAGCACTGGGTGTCATACGTAAGAGATAAATCACTGGGTCCTACTTCTGAAACCAAGACTACACTGTACGTTAACTAACGAATTTAAATAAAAAAAAATTAAAGAATTAAAACTAAATCATGAAGTTAAACTAGTATTTGTAAAATAATTGGATAGCAATTAAGTACTAAACTATATAACACAGTCCATAAATCTAAGAACAATTCAGAAAAGGAAGAGCCAAGTATGGGATAAAATGCCCAGAACAGGATTCTTGAAGCAGAAGACATTTAAAGTGAATTTTAGGTGGACAAAATAATGCCTATTTTAAAGAAAAAATTATATAAGAGTTTTAGTAACTAAATAAACCATGGGAGTGACACAGAATGAAATTGCTCTACTGCAATTTATAAGACAATTCTGATTTAAAAAATGATTTTAACAGTTAACACCAGTGACTTTTATATGTTAGTTTATCAACTGAAAAGCTAAACCCAGAGCATTTTTTCTATCCTACATATTCATGTGGCAAGCGACTTGTGTTTCAAGGATTAAGCTAGACAGACAATTTCCAATATTGATGCTAACAGACTAGAGCCATGTCTAGAATTGCTGCTGTCAGATAAGGACTGCACTATCCTTTCATAATGTCTCCATGATCTTCCAGAACATAAGAGGAAGGAAAACACAGTTCTTATTTGGCTGAATTGGCACACTAAATAAGAGCAAAACTTCATAAATATCAGTTCAAGCCCTCCTGCTGGTAAAAATGAAGAACATCTTTCATCAAAATCTTAACCCAGCTCCCATTGATAGAGCATCCTGCAGAGAAGGACCTGACACAGACCTCATTTGCACCTGTCAGTGCTTAAACCATTCAAGTACCTCGAAGGACCTCTTTTGTTACAGCAGCCCTACTACACTGGCCTTAGTCGCCTTAAATGCATTTTATAGCAAGAATAATTTTGATCACATTCATCTCAAAGTTAGTAAGGATTCACAACCAGTACCTGCATAGGAAGGAGCATAAAATATCTGTTTTTGATCTTTATAACAAATAGATATGCTTGATCACAACCATGAATGTTTAAATGTTTCTTGTACAAAAGTAACAGAGAAAATTCCTATAGGTCTTTAAAAATGAGATCTTGAGAAATATACATAAACTCTCCTACTCCTTCCACTGTACCCAGCAATACTTTTAGGGACTTAGACCCACTGTCTCTTTTTAAAATAAATGGCAGGCTCCTTATGGGCAGGAAATATGTCTTCTGCTTCTCTATATGGTGCTGCCAATTGCTTACAGAACAACATGTTTGCTGCAGATGGTAGCTGAACTGCTAAAAGGATAAGCCTGCAAGAGAATACGAGAATACTGGCCACTAAATATAAAAGATCTTGGGAAAAGAAACATCCTCACAATTCCCACCATTATCCAACAGTCTTACCTGTTACATTCAGTCCCAAAGAGGGAGAGACGGGCAGTGGAAGATAGGGAATAAAGCACATCCCTTGTCTCCTCCTATTCTGTTGTCCACTAGGTGATACTAGTTCTCATGGTGTTCTGGGGATGAGGCAAGGGGTAACAGATGAAGAGATAGACCTCACCTCTATTTTTTTTTAAAGAAGATTGTCTTATATGGCACTGGCTGGGAATGGAAGTGCTGACTATTCACTGTCAAGATATCTCTGCACCCCCACACCCCACCCCCGGCCAAGACTAGGTCTCTGGTAATCATCAGTAACAATTCCAGTCAAGGAATGAAGGAGCATCTATTATGATAGTGGGCTTGTCCTATAATTAACTCAGTGTTTTTTCATCATTTTTTCTTGTCTCTCCTACATCCTAAGTAGAGCTGCCTTAAGCACAAAGACTTGAAAGCACTTGGACGACACCTGTAAAGGTGGAAGAATCCAGACTGGCAAAACAAACCTCTTCAGTCAGAAGTGCATTTCTGTGATGTCGGATTTATTCCACGTGGGTGATCCACTATTTTCTGTGGGGAGCGCATGGGTCTAACAAAGGCAAGGGATTTTGTTTCCATTGTACAACCAAAACACACTCAGCACTCACTTCTGCTAGGGTATCAAACGGTCTCCTCTAGTCTTAGACACAAAGAACTCTTAGAAGTGGTCACAGAGCCCTCTGTGAGACAAAGTGACTCTAGGTATTTACAGATCCCCCTTTCACTTGCTTCAGATCAGGAACTAGATTTCTAAGAGCACAGGGGAAAATAAAATGAACGACAGAGGTATAAACTATAGCCTGCCATGGGAAGCAGAATTCCTGTTTGGATTCAAACATGGCGAGCTCCCTAAATCCTGGGATAACCACTCTGAGGTATCCATAGTATTATGTAAATATGTCCTGGGTTGGCAGCTTGGGATGATGATGATAAACCCATCAAGCTCTAGCCATGGCATACACTTAGTTTCCCTGAAGTTGCCATTCTGTTTTCCATGACTTAGCTCTGGCACATGGCTCTGTGGCATTTTCTCTATGCCAGAGTGGATTCCTATGCACCCTTCAAACTCCAGCTCATAAGTGATTTCCTTGGGAAATCTTTAAATAATATCTTTATCATTCCACTCCCTGCTCCTTCCAAGGAGCTTCTCTGTTACCTGGTACATTTTTCTGATTCCATCTAACATGCTGTAGTAATTATGTGTTTACATATCCAGCTTCCAGAACAGATGGGGAGACCTTGGGGCCCTAGTTAATATATTATTTTTTATTACATTTTATAACCTTTATTACATTCCCAGCATGCTACCTGACTCTTGTAGTTATTTAATATACCTTTGATAAATTAATAGGAAAAAAGTTTTTTGATTCATAACATTTATTTTTTCCCTTTTATAAAATTCCTCTTTTGTTCCTTTAACCAGTTAATTAAAAAGCTTCTTTCTCTCTTTTCTTGAGTCACTTATGTCATTTAATTCATATCAAATTAAAAGGAGAAAGAAAGATATATGCATATATTATTACAATATGCTTTGTTTTCTACGGGCATACCAGTTAGCTTTTTTTTTTTTTTAATTTTTTTTTTTCAACATTTATTTATTTTTGGGACAGAGAGAGACAGAGCATGAACAGGGGAGGGGCAGAGAGAGAGGGAGACACAGAATTGGAAACAGGCTCCAGGCTCTGAGCCATCAGCCCAGAGCCCGACGCGGGGCTCGAACTCACGGAGCGCGACTGTGACCTGGCTGAAGTCGGACGCTTAACCGACTGCGCCACCCAGGCGCCCCACCAGTTAGCTTTTTAATGTAGAGTCTGCACACTGTGGCATACCAATTAATAAAGAGGCAAGAATCCTGCCTCATACAATAGGACTAAAAATGGGATATCAAAGAACTGTGTTGCATTTGCCATGTTATTACACAAGTCTTTCCTGCAGTCCATATTTAGTGCTTTGTTATTCTTAAATGACACAATGCTGAGGTATGTGCTCTGCCTCAAGACTTTCAGAGGAGCACCTGTGTGGCTAAGTTGGTTAAGCATCTGACTTCGGCTTAGCTCATGATCTCATGGTTCGTGAGTTCGAGCCCCTTGTTGGGCTCTTTGCTGATAGCTCAGAGCCTGGAGCCTGCTTTGGATTCTGTGTCTCCCTCTCTCTCTGCACTCCCCCCCCTCAAAAATAAACATTAAAAAAAAAAAAAGACTCTTTCAGAGTTCTAATTATTATGAACAATAATTTCTTGTAAGACCAAATTTCCATTTCCTATTACAAATAAAATCCCCTTTCATCAATTATACTATTGCGCCAGACCTGAGAAAAGCACCTTTAGATTATGTATATATTTTAATTTTATTATAATGTGAATATAAATTATGTTTCCTTTCAATAAGGATAGTTTTTTTTTTCAATGCCACAATGGGATTTGGTGTTTGCATTTTATACATTTTGTTTCATCTTACAGATCATGATGAGAAATTATGTTGATTGTGCTATATTTGTATCCTCAGTGTTGGAAAATAATAATGGCGGTCTCTAAAGCTAATGAAATTGTGTATAATCACATACTATCTAGTACAATTAGTGATTTAGGAGCCTGGGATGTCCCAGAAGACCTCAACTCCAATCATCTTGTCCTGAACCTTTATTTTAATCATAATGCCAACCACCAAATGGCTCAGCCAAGCAGCTAACAAGGGTTTTCAATACACAGTCTAGATTATATGAGCGAATATGGCAATGAACTTTGTATAGAAATCCAAGTTTTCATTGCTCCTAAGGCATATGGCTAGAGCCTCCTAAAAATTTTTTTTCGAAGTTATATGTTGAAGGGAAACAGTCCAATGAAGCAAAGAGAAGAACTCACATTTGAGCAAAGCTTTTAAAAGTTCATGGGAAAATAATAGCTTGACTGTAAAGCTTTAGTTGTAAATCACTAGATGTGATCAAAGTAACTGAAGAAATAAAATAATTATGACAACCTTTTCCAGTATCTATAGTTAACCTACAAACACCAAAATACCAAAGCCTTTAAAAGATAAATCCTTTTATACTTAAAACTACCTTTGGATGTGCATGTGTAACAATTGTACATAACAGTTTATTCCAGAGTTCCTTTTTCTTTGTTTAATCACAAGGGTGTGGGACAAATCCAGCTTTGTTTGGCTCAACAAACACAGAACACTCAGAGTAACTGAAGAGCCAACTCCCCTGATGTCACCTCTTCCTTAACAACCATTTCAAAATCCTATAAAACAGTAGGACTGCCCTTCCTTCACAGAGTCACATGCTGAAGGCCACTCAACTTTTACACAGTCATAGCTCAATCAGGTAGAAAAATAATTCTAATTCCAGCTGTTAACTTACCTTGAAGAACTTCCATGGGGAGAACAGTCCAGGCATTTTCCAGGTAGGAAATATAAATATAGCGAGCCATATTGCAAGCCAGGCCAATGTACAGAACCCTAAAAAAAAAGGGGGGTTGGGGAGAAGAAGATGAGGCCCTGGAATGAGGCATAAAGCATGCAAATATTACCTACGTCTTCCCCTGCCCAAACCATCCATCATCCAGCAGTGTTCAAACTTAGGAGTGGGCAAGCTAAAAGACAATTCAAGTTAACCAGGAACTCTTAGGAGAAAGAAGGCTGCTTCTAACGTATCTGCCGTCAGCCTTTTCAAAAACACTTGTTAATATAAAAGTGACCATCACCCTTCCTGAAACTTAATTAGGAGCAGAGCTGATGCTTTTTTAAGATAGCCTGGGCACACTGCCATGTCTAATGACATTACTGGCTTCCTTCCAGGTGGCTGTAGGGTAAACATGCTGGGATTATAGCTACTTCACTCTGATGGGGGAAAGACAGGATAAAAATGAGAACATGAATATGAACTTTGTCTCACATGCAATATCGAAGACACCAAGTTTTATAAGGAGACTCTCAAGGTCATCGAAAACTATCATCCGATGATGAATAATAAACAATTTGGAGATCAAATACTTTTTTCTGTCAGTTCAACTGACATATCTTCATTATTTACAAATAAATCCATGATATCATATGCTTACCAAACTAATAAATATATATCAACATCACTTTCCCCCCTCATAAGTACCACCACCAAAATTGTGAGAAAAACAAAATAAATAAAGGCCTTAAGTGGTATGTTACATTCTCTGTCTTTCTGAACTGGATGAGCTGGTTTGGAAGTAAACGGTGGTTGTTTCTTTGTATAAAACACAGCCTGATGGTAGAGATTTCTCTCTTTTTTTTATTTAATCTTTTTTTTTTTTGAAGTTTAGTTATTGATTTTGAGAGAGAGAGAGAACAAGTGAGCACACACAAGTGGAGGAGGGGCAGAGACAGAGGGAGAGAGAGAGAATCCCAAGCAGACTCTGTGCTGTTAGTACAGAGCACCATGTGGGGCTTGATCTCACAAACCATGAGATCATGACCTGAGCTGAAATCAAGAGTCAGATGCTTAACTGACTGAGCCACCCAGGCACCCCTAGGGATTTCTCTTTCTAACTTGTTTTCCATTTTCTTTAATTTTCTAATCTTAATGCTTTTTTTTTTCTTAATTCAAGTGAATGAAAATTCAAAGGTAAAAGAAATAAGCCGATATAACAGTCAGTGGTATTTTCCTCATCTTGCTCAACTATATTTTTATATTAAAATCATCAAATAAACATTGTTCTCTTTTCCCAACACTGGATCAAGGAAAGGAAATGCTTTGAGGCATCCAGCTGATATTAACCACAAATAGGGAACAGAAGGATGGGAAGAAAGACAAAAATGGTTGAGGGGCGGGGATGGGATAGGAAATAGATATTAAAAGAGATTTAGGAGATCTTCAGTGTTGAAAAGGTCTGGGTTATCATATTCTGTGGACATTATGTTCTTTGTACTTGAATGTTTTGAGGAAAAAAGCATATGTTTAGATCCTGTTTGATAAAAATTTCCTGAAGAAACTTGCTATACAGATCCATCAACAAGGGTCCTTCTGCTGGGAAACAACAACAAAAAGCCCACAGGAAATTAAAATGCAAAATACATCACACAAACATACAAATGACACAACCCATGTCTCCTTTTTAAGTTCTAATCTAACTCTGTTGATGACCTTGACATAGCCTCAGGGGTCAGTAAACATTTTCTGTAAAGGGCCATACATAAATAGTTTAGGCTTTGTAGGTCTGTTGCCACTACTCAACCTTGCCACTGTAGAGTGAAAGCAGCATAGACAATATGTCCATGAGGGAGCATGGATGGCTGTATTCCAGTAAGATTTGAATTATGAACAGTGAAATTTAAATTTCATAGCTGACCTCTAAACAATGCAGGGATTAGAGGTGCCAACCCCCTGCATAGTAGAAAATCCACATATAACTTTTGATTCCCCTAAAACTTAACTACCAATAGCCTACTATTGACTGGAAGCCTTACCAATAACATAAACAGTCAATGTATTTTATATGTTATATGTATTATATACTATATTCTAATAATAAGATAAAGGAAATGTTACTAAGGAAAACATAAGGAAAATACATTTGTAGTACCATACTATATTTCTTGAAAAATTCTGTGTATAAGAGGACCTGTACAGTTCAAACCCATGTTGTTCAAAGGTCAACTGTAGTTTTTATGCATCACAAAATATTATTCTTCTTTGACTTTTTTCAACCACTTAAAATACAGAAACCACCTTTAGTTCTGGGCCATACACAAACAGGCAGCAGGCCAGATTTGGCCCAAGGGCTGAAGCCTGCTAAGCCCTGATCTAGCTCATTAGTTCTTGGCTATACATCAGATTTACTCAGGTAACTATTAAAAACGACAGATGTCAAGGCCCATGCTAGTCTCAATAAAGATATCTCTGGCTGGAACCCACGCACTATGCTTTAGAAACCTCTCCAGTTTATTCAGATACTAAGCCAGGGTAAAGAACCACTGGTCTAGGTCATGCCACACAGCTTCCCAGTGATATGTCAGTTTAAATATCCCTTTCATGTATTAAAGAGATTCTTAAGGTTGCTGAAATACTTTTCAGTGACTATTCAATAAATACATATCTAATTCTTTTCCCTTTTCATGGGTCAAAATGCTGCCTTTCTGCTCACAATTCACAATTTTACTCTTGCTGATTTCTTGAAGCACTGGCTACCCCAGAATGGTTGATGAGGACGAAATGATAGTGTTCCTCTCTCTTTTGGAATTCTGGAATAAAAGTACTCTCAGAAAACAAGAGGGTACTTGGATGCTTTTCTTTAAAATAATTACTACTAGGGGCGCCTGGGTGGCGCAGTCGGTTAAGCATCCGACTTCAGCCAGGTCACGATCTCGCGGTCCGTGAGTTCGAGCCCCGCGTCGGGCTCTGGGCTGATGGCTCAGAGCCTGGAGCCTGTTTCCGATTCTGTGTCTCCCTCTCTCTCTGCCCCTCCCCCGTTCATGCTCTGTCTCTCTCTGTCCCAAAAATAAATAAACGTTGAAAAAAAAAAAAAATTACTACTACTACTACTACTACTACTACTAACAACAATAATAATAATGCTACAATTTATTGAGTGCTTATTTTGGGTGATTCACTGTGTTGTAATTATAACAAGCCTGCAGAGTAGATGTTATTATCCCTGCTGAAGTCAGACACTCAACTTTAAGATTAATAACAGGCAGGGGCATCTGGGTGGCTCAGTCGGTTACATGTCCAACTTTGGCTCAGGTCGTGATCCCACGGTTCGTGGGTTCGAGCCCCGCATCGGGCTCTGTGCTGACAGCTTGGAGCCTGGAGCCTGCTTTGGATTCTGTAGCTCCCTCTCTCTCTGCCCCTCCCCCGCTTCTCAAAAATAAATACACATTAAAAAAAATTTTAAACTGACATTTCATTCACTGTTATGGGCTGAATTGTGTCCCCTGAATTTCATATGTTGAAGTCCCGGGTCCTAACCCTCAGTACCTTGGAGTGTGACTATATAAGGAGATAGGGCCTTTAAATATGTATACGTATCATTAAATACATATCATTAAATACGACATTTAAATGATGTCGCATGGGTGGGTCCTAATCCAGTATGACTGGTGTCCTGATAAGAAGAGAAGAGAACAGGTCAGAGACAGGCTCAGAGAGAAGGCTGGGATGAAGACAGTGGAGAGTTCCTCGGAAGAAATAAAACCTGCTGACATCTTGATCTTGGACTTTTAGCTTCCAGGACTGTTCAGGAAATAAATTTCTAGTTGTTTAAGCCATCCAATCTGTGGTGCTTTATTGTGGCAGCCCTAGCAAATGAATTCATGCACACCTATGAAATTAAGGATTTGGAATAAAAAGAAATTAAAAATGTTTTACTAGATCATCTTCTGGACGGTCAAAATTCTTTATACTGAATATAAAGCACATGTTCAGAGTCCTAGAATATTCCTGAGCACTATGAGGTCTGGAAGTACAGAAGAATAGGGTGAAAAATGCTTCTCACTGAGATACAGATACCTAATGAGCATCTATAATGAAGAAGCTCAGAGACAACCTCATCGCTTTCCTATTTCACAACAGGAAGTCAGTAAGTATAAAATTAGGCAAGAAATAAAGGCCATTTTAGAATAGGTGGTTGATGTAAGTGAACTTCTCTATAAAGAGGATGAACACGATTGGTAGGAAGCAAATGCTTTAGCAGAAAACAACTACACCATGGAAAACCCAAATCACTTGTCAAACGTGTGACAAGTGTCACCTTGACAAAGTGCCCCTGCTCCTTGATTCTGTATTTGAGCAAAATATAACAGGAGAAAAAAAGTGTTTATGACATTATAATTTCTTATACAACCACAATTCACAGTATTGGAAGGACAAATTGGTGGTTATTTTATAATAAAACTAGTACTTTTTTGGGCTCCTGGGTGTCTCAGTTGGTTAAGCATTCAACTCGACTTCAGCTAGGATCATGATTTCATAGTTTGTGGGTTCAAGTCCCACATTGGGCTCTGCACTAACAGTGTGGAGTCTGCTTGGGATTCTCTCTCTCTCTCTCTCTCTCTCTGCCCCTCCCGTTCTCTGTCTCTCAAAGTAATTAAAATAAACTTTTAAAAAATTATGAAAACAATATGATATCCTAGCTACTATTCAATATTATTGCTATCTTTTGAATTTGTTGTGAGATTGAATGTAAGTAAACCATATAGACACAAATAGTTAAGAAAAGGACAAAATAATCAGCATCACCATTATTGTATTCTTCCTGGACAAAGGAAATGGCAGTCTCTCTCTAGAGACTTCAGGAAAGTGCTTATTTACTTCAAGGACCACTTGGATCATCAGAAAATGTATGTGACACAATGGGAACCTTTGAAACAAAGCAGCTTATAGAAACAAGATTCTATTATAAAACATGTTTCTCTGCAGCCTATCTGGTACAATGTTCTGCTTAGCTCTCTGTCCTCCAGCCACACAAATGCCAAATGGACCCACTGGG